TTGGGTCTTTTGGGTTGTTCATTTGTTATCACTGATTATTGGGGAGTTTATAAAAGAGAATTTTACGTATGAATTTTTGACTTTGGCCTGCTTTGTCCTTAAAAGGAAAGATTTATAGAAAAATTTTTAATCAAAGGTTTTATTTGTTTGCAAAGTTTATATATATATATATCAACGATTTTTTTCCAACATATAAAAACAAAAAATTTTTAAAGAAAAAATGTTATACAGTCTAAAATCACTACAGTTCCCTTAATTTCATGTTTGTATCTCTTTAATTGAAGGAAGAGATGACGAAAGAGATATAATTTTCTTTTATTTAGGGAATTGTTATTCGCACCCCACGTGACTAAGTGTAGTAATGTGACCAATGAATGGCTTAGCCAAATAAATCGCTTAGAAAATGGCTTGATCAAATAAATCGCTTAAAATGTGATGATTTTATTGGTTCATCTTTGTCTTAGTCACGTGGGGTGCGAATAACAATTCCCTTTATTATGACATTACTTATTAGGCATCTCCCACCAGTATATGTATATAGTAATATAGGACCATTGAATGTGATCGCCAATACTATGATTCGAAAGAACTTTTAAAAAAAATGTGAACGCCTCACTATAGATTCGCATTAATAGTTATTATATACTGTAATAGTAATTCGAAGAAAATATCCATCGGTTACACTTATTTGCAATATTAATATAGTAATAGTAATAGAGGAGTTATCGGTTACACTATAATTCGCATCAATAAACACTATTATTATTATTATTATTATATATAGTAAAAAAGGTAAAATAATTCCTTATGAGTCACGCCAACAACATACCCCAACTTTCAAGAATTAGTTAATACTAAAAAGCTATTTGAAAAACTTCAAAAGACATTCCGAGAGTAATAATAAGATTTTTAGATTATTTATCATATATTTTTGTTAAGGTTTATCTTCCAGTATCGCTATTCATATTACACTATGAGAAGTAGTTTTTTTTTTGGGATATGTTTTTATTCTTATATTAATCCTTGTTTGATTGCAGTAGATGATGAAACATTTTAATTTATAATCATTTTAGTATGTCAAGTACACAAAACTTCCTTTTAAATATTTTTAATTAATAAAGATAAATT